GTGAAAGCAAAAGTCAGCACCCTACCCCAAAGTTTCCTTTAAAAGTGGAAAAGTAACTGCCTTTTATCTTGAAAAATGGAGTGTATGGGCTTAGAATACAAACATAACGATATTCCAAATCCCTAAAGGACATACAGGTTATAGGAGATGTTTGTCTGTGAGCTAAGCAATGTCACAAGCTGTGACATATGGGTCTCTTAATTTCTAGTTGAATTATAATCTTGATTATGAACAAGTCCAAATACTTTAAACACTACTGATAATATAATGCTATCCATATACTTGCCCCCCCCCCCACATTTAATGATGGAAAACAATACAATCTTTTTGCTTTAGAAGTAATCTGGAGAAAATGCTTTCCTTGCAGCGTGCTAGCTTCACATAATTATGTTTGATTGACTCAACTTCCCACTTGCTTTGCACTTGCTTCAAAGCATTGTGTAAAACTGCCTGAAGGTATGCACTCCTGTGTTTTCAAAGTTCATGTGTTGAAAACACATGTTTGAAGGGCAGGAGTCTTGCCTTAGGAGGAAAAAAAAGTTTTGTCTCTATTCCCTAAGTGCTGAGATTATAGGCATGTACCAAATTCACTCCTGGATGAGGATATTAAAGTAAAATATAAGGCTTGTTTGTTTGTTTGTTTGTTTGTTTTGGGTCATGATCTTAAAGAAGCATTCAAGATTGGGAGTCAAATGCCTTGTTTCAAAACCTAACTTCACTGAAGATTTAATGCTAAGGTATGTGGGGCTGTGAAACTGCTTACAACACTGATGTTTATTTAGGTGTATATTGTTGACATGTACTTATTAATTATAAGTATGCATCTCACTGTTAATTGTATTTAATTTAGCGAATCTTAAGTCACTTTGGAATCGTATGCACAGTGTCAAGACGAACTTCTGCATGAACCTAAAGCAGTTTTTTTTCCCCCAATAAAGTTTAATTTCTTTACTTGTGTTAAATTTCATTTAAAGGTCAGATCATTGTGAACTATGTTTTGTTGTGATTAAGCTGAAGGGAAATCTGTCACAATAAGCTTATGTTCCCTTTAGAGTCAGAACTTACACACACACACAAACAAAAAAAAAATATAAGAATGCTGAGTCAATTGACTAAATAAACCTCTGCATTCAAAAGTAAGCATGAGAGGGTGGCTATCCCACATCTTCCAGCACTCAGCAGGCAGGAAGACAAAGACAGGCATAGGTCTGTGAGTCTGAGGTAAGCCTGGTTTACAACTAAGATCCAGGCTAGCCAAGAACTACACAGTGAGAATACCATCTCTTAAGAAAAAGAAAGGAAAGGAAGGAAAAGAGGAAGGAAAAAAGGAAGGAAAGAAGAAAAGAAGAAGAAAGGAAGGGAGACGGGAAGAAGGAAGGAAAAAGAGAGAAAGGATGAAAGAAAGAAATGAAAAAGAAAAGGCAATGAATGGTGGGGCTAGAAAGATGGCTTGGTGCTCTTAAGAGCACTTACTGCTCTTCAAGAGGATCCAGGTTTGATTCCTAGTGCCCACACTATTGTTCACAACCATCTTTTTTAAAATTTAGTTTTATTTATTATTATTACTATTATTATTATTATTATTATTATTATTTTGTTTGTTTGTCCGGAACTTGCTTTGTAGACCAGGCTAGCTTCGAACTCACAGAGATCCGCCTGCCTCTGTCTCCCCGAGTGCTGGGATTTCAGGCGTGCACCCCTGCACCTGGATGGCTCACAACCATCTGATGCCCTCTCTGAACCCTGTGAGCTCCTGCTTGTATCTGGTGTACATAAATCCAAAAGTACATATATACATAAAAATAAATTAATTAATTAAAAAGAGGTAATGACATTCATCAAAATGATTAAGCAAAGTTACTTTTAATACAGCATTATTACAGTTTCATAAAATAATTCATAGGTAAGCTCTGGAATTGTTTTGCATGTTTACCTCAATATAAAATAATTACACTTACAAGTAAACATCTTGATCATAAATGATAGAAAAGAGCTCTTAAGACTCACTTTTAATATCTGTCAGATTCAATTATACTCTCTATTATATTTTACTCGTTTGTATTTGTGTACATATATGTATGCATGCTGTGTCACAGCCATGTCACAGCACATTTATGGGGTGGGACCACAATATGCAGGAATCAGATCTCTCCTTCCACCACGTGAGTTCTGGAGACTGAACTCAGGTTGTCAGTTTTGGTGGCAAGTGCCTTTACTCACTGAGCCATCTTGCTGCCCCCCAAATTAAATTATAAATAATATATACCTGTAAGTATATAAAATATATGCACATGATATTTGTGTGTGTTTTTATGTATTTCCAAAAAGAAAGAAAATGATATATTCAGACAAATAAAACTTTAAAAAATATGTACAAATCAACTAAGTTTAAAAAAAAGTTTTTACAAAAAAGGAGTTAAAAGTTTGAAATACAGAGTTCACAGAATTCAGTGCAAGCAAGTAGGTCCCAATCTAGCCCACTCAAATGACCAAAAAATATGAACAGAAAATTTAAGGGTTCATAACCAACTCAAAAGAATGTAGATTTATAGTCAGCCTATAAATATAAGGATGCACTGCACAACCCTTAAATTAGCAACTGGGTAACTCTATTTGGAGTATGACTAGGAAAAGCCCACCAGAGAGTCTGCAGACTTTTCTGGGGAAGCAATCTAGTTCACCATTTGCACAAGTTAGCAGTTTGGGGGCTGGAGAGATGGCTCAGCTGTTAAGAGCACTGAGAGCTCTTCCAGAGGATCCTGGTTCAATTCTCAGCACCCACATGGCAGCTCACAACTGTGTGGTCTGTAACTCAAATTCCAGTGGATCTGACTCTCTCACACAGACATATATGTATGCCAAACACCAAATGTACATAAAAATAAATAAATTTAGCAATTTGACATTATGCGCCAAATACGAAAAACACTGTAGCCCTTCATTTGGCAGCTCTACCTTCACAATAGTAAACGTTAATGGTACAAAATGGGAAAGGGTATGTATCCATGATACATATTTAAGCAGAGCTGACATAACGGCAATGTTTAGAGAACAACTTAGTAACATTAGAAATGTCTGAGTGGTTGAGGAGAAAGCTAATGACACTAAACAGTCATGACACTCCCCTTAAAAACTTTATGAAAGTAATTTCAGAAGGCCTTGGAGACACAGCGAATGTTTAAATACAGTGGGATGCTGGGTAAGTGCTTTCCCTCTCACTCTAAACCTTTATTGTTTAACGTGTTTCGAACAAACACTAAAAAATACAAATTACTATTAATACTATAAAATTAACTTAAAATACAACGGAATGCAAAAACGGTAAGTTTTTGTCAAAGCAAAATTCAAATACTTTTGTTACAAATATTGAGGATATTTACATAAAAATAAGTTGTTCACTTGGAGCATTATGGATATTTTTTGAAAAACATTCCTCCCACTTCCCTGTTTCATATTTGTAAATTTGAATAGATTTGTGAAAAGAGGCCTTAGAGTATGAAAATATTAACTCACTGAATTTGTTTCCTTAATTCCTATTAGAAGAAATGTTTGTTTGGAGGAGAAACAGAGGTAGTGATTTCAAAGGCAAAGAAAAAAAAAGGTCGGAAAATGTAGAGCTTTAAAGTCATGCCTGGAAGAAAAAAAAAAGTCTGTGATCAAAACAACCCATAAAACATGACTTACACTGACTTATGCTTTATGTGGATTGCACATGGTGGTTTCAAGGCAGCCACATGAGTGGCTCACGGCTCTTTCCTTTGGGCTAGTTGAGGCAGTTCTTTTGAAAGCCTCCTCACCTGTTACTCTAATGGGCCGCAGCACGCACTCTCTCTCAGCTATATATCTGTGTTTGTTGAGACTGCGGAAGCTGTTAGTGACCGCGGCCAGCAGGCCGGCTACTTTTACTCCCTCCTTTCACTTGGCTGGGATATGGATGTCATCAATGCTGGGTTTTCGGCACTGTCTCCATTCATTCAGAAATCCTCCACTGCAAAGGTTGCACAGCCATTTGTTCAGACTACAGTCTTAGATCCGTACTAAGTGAAAATTGTTTTTATGTCTATTTAGAAATGTGAAGTACACTCTTCAGGAAGATGTTCTGTAGAACGAGTGAATAGCGCTCCGCAACTCTGCCTGCCTGGACTGGGTCTGAAACCGAGAAGGACCTCCGAGTGAAGTGCTAGGTGAGAGAAAGGTGAACTGCCTTGTCTTTAACTCGCTCCACAGTGGGACGAAAACTAATGTGTACAGAGCAATGGGTGCAGCACAGAGATAAAAACTGTACTGGCTTCTGCTCTACAGGGAAAATAAGAAAACCGTAACTCAAGTCACTAAGAACCACTCTCAAGAATTAAGTCAAGCTGGCCTGTGGGTCTGGCTCCTGACGAGGCTGGGGTAGCAGCCAGGAGTTCTCTAGGCCAGCCTGAATAACACAGAAAGAACTGTCCTCAAAAAGTTCTTCTAGTCACTAAGAAGATATCGTAAATTTCAAACTACACTATTTACTTTCGGTATGCATAAAAGAATGTGAATTTAGCACAGCAAAATATTACATACCCAATAATAATTTAGAAAAATACTTTTGCTATTTGGATTCACCATTATTAATTTTAATATTTTTTCTAAAAATTTAAGGTTCATTTGTCTAGTGCTAGGTCTCAAGGAAGCAACTGTAAAATTATTCTTAAAACAAATTAGGCCCAATACGGTTGCCAAAAGTAAATTTGTTCAAAGATAGTATAAACACTTATTCAAACACACGCATAACTTTCTAAAGGAAACCTTCAGGGCAACAAATGCTGACAACAATAATTGACACTATTTATATGAACATGCATGTCTACCTTGACATGCAATATAATCATTCTTAAAAAATAAAATGGCGAAGCCCTCTCACACCTGCATAGGCCATTACGAACATGCTAACTTCCATCCTGTGAATATCGCTCCCTCGAATACAGGTGTCACTTCCCTCTCCTTCCTGCGAAGGCTTCTCTCACCTTGCACTTGGGGCACTTCTGGGCATTTCTCTGCCCGTGCTCAATTTCGCTGGCCCAGTGACGCAATAACTTGTCTCCTTTTTTGTACTCCTTGCAGTTAACACCTTCATGCCAAGGAGAATGGCACTTAAAACACCAGATGAATTGGCAAGTGGGACACTGGATCTGTGCAAGAAAAACAGTATTAGTACTTAGGCGATACACGGAGTGTTTTCTATCACTGTGATAAACACCATGAGAAAAAGCAGTCTGGGTAGGAACGGGGTTATTTGACTTACACATTGCAATCACAGTCTATCATGAAAGGAAATGAGGGCAGGAACTCAAGGAGAGAACCTGGCAGCAGGAACAAAAGCAGAGGCCCTAGAGGAACAGTGCTTACTGACTTGCTCCCCGTGGCATGCTCAACCTGCTCTCTTATATAACTCAGGACCACCTGCCCAGGGGTTGCACCCCCCCCCCCACAGTGGGCTGGGCCCTCTCACACCAATCATTATTCAAAAAAATGCCTTACAGATGGAGGAATACTCTCAACTGACATTTCTCCTTCCCAGATGACCCGAGCCTGTGTTAGGTTGACAAAAAAAAAAAAAAAAAGAACCACCATATGGCCAACCGGGTAACTGTCAATGCTTTGGGCGATTAGCTAAAAGGTAATTTCCTTCGGAATACTTTCCCCAAGAACAAACAAGACCAAATCTTGGTAAAATAGGAATCCTCTAATACTGAAAGAGGATGAAACTGTTTTGACAAGGACATTTTGTTTAGAGACTACCTAGGCAGTCAGAACACATGAGACATGTTGAAAATCAATTTAGTTGTGTGAACATCTCCCATATGGGAACACAGAGTGAATCTTGAAGGCACAAAATCCAGACAGCACGCTGGCAGTGCCACACCGCTGAATCAGTAGCAACCCCCAAGGACCCTGTGAGAAAGAGATCAGTATGTCAATTCTGCAGGGGACACCTAAGAAGCCGTCAGAAGGAAGCCTTCTTTGAAAATACGAATTCATGGAATGTACTTATTGAAAGTATTCTGCCTTCCACTCAACATGGGAGCTTTCTTTCATGCCTTCCTTTGTTTTGGATGGCAGTGAAGAGTTCCATTTTCACACAGTATTTCCCATTCTCACTCTAAAGTGAGTAGTCATAAGGGCACTTAAGTGTTGCATCCTCGTGTGGTTAAAATGAATTAAGATAAGATGCCACACCATGAACGCTCTTGTAACGAAGACCTCTCTTAAACTCTGTGCTTCTGCACACTACATCGCGGCAGCAGGATTGAATTTACTGACGTTCTAAAGAACAGCCAAGGTTTCTTTCATTAAACTGTAACTAATACCACAACTTAGATCTTTGTTATACTGATGTTTCTTTTTGACAGTGTGGTTCCCCTAAATACATTAACTGAGAAGGGTTCTAATTGTGGCTCTTTTGCTTGTAAGCCAAAAGACTCTAGTTCTCACTCATGCCACGTTTCTGGGCACACTGGCATACCCTTTCAGTGTTGGCACTTGAGGGAAAGATTGGAGGCTAGCCTGATCTATGTAGAGAGACCCTGTCTAAAAAAGGAAAAGCAGGGATAAATAATGTTTTTTTCTATGCAAATATGAAGTAGTGAAATTTTGCTTTCGATTTTCTATAAAGATCTCAATTATTATACCAAAATTCATTAATTTCAAAATTTTGCTAAATGGTAATGCCATGTCTTATTTTTCTTATCCTCAAAATAATGCTACAATGTGTGTGTGTATACACACACACACACACACAAACACATATGGAATTCATAAATATATATTACAGAGGGTGAAAGATATTAAGTGGCCCACCCAAAGTAACCCAGAACATAGGTATTAAGATGCATGTGAACCTAAAATTATCTGGCTACATGGCCAGCACACTCTTCACTGTCAGAACACTTGATCATACTCCCGCAGAATTCCTTCTTCAATAAAACTTCACACTTAAACTATTCCATTAGTCACCATTTTACAGGATTCCCAACCCACTAACATAAATAGGAAGACCCTTGGTTTGGAAAGAAAGGTTATTGCTACTTAGTTGCAAGAACAAAACAACAACAACAACAAAAACCAACCAACCAAACAAACAAACAAACAGAAACCAGACACATTTGCCTATTCTGAATACTAAAATTAAAACGAGTCTAAACAATAAAAGGTAGTTATTAAATTGGCCTACATAACATGGGCAGAGAGTCTACACACGAGTCTGCATGCTAAACTTCTGTTTTCTTTTGTTTTTTGTTTTTTACAGAGAGAGTTTCATGTAGCCAAGGTAGCCTCAAACATTATGTGGCAAAGGATGAACTTTTAACCTTTTGATCCTTCCACCTCCATCTCCTACATGATAAAATTACAGGCGTGCTTTCCCAGGCTGGACTAAGTCTTGTTTAAGAATACTAAGTTGAAGTAGGTAAAACAGAAGAATTATTTTTTTTCTCTTAGGTCATTCAACAGTACAGAGGATATGCCAATACATACAGGAGCATTCCTTCTGCACACAAATGAAAGGGTAAGGAAGTCAGAAGAACATATCTTTCTTGCAGATGTCAGGAAGCTTAAAGACTTAGTCCAATTGTCTCCTATCAGACAGTATTCATAATTGCAAATCACCAAACTCTAGCATCATGAAATGAAAATTTTAAAGGTCTCCTTTAAGTTAAATAAAACAACAAGCCTGTGGATTCGAGTTCAATCCACAGAACCTGTATTTTAACAAAGGCCAGGCACAGAGGTTGCTCGTGCTTGTAACTGTAGCTCTGGGGACTAAGCAGGCGGCCTACACAGCCTAAGGCAGTGAGGGAGGCTGAGTACAGAGCCAAGTGAAGGACTCCGTCTCAAAAATTAAAAGAACACAAAATGGATGATGCCTAACAGTTAACAGTGCTGACTTTCGTCTCGTTCCTTGTGACCTTAACCACATTCAAAATCGGCCTTATCTAAACATAGATATCAACATTGCATCTTCCTCCGCTCGTGTGTTCAGCCACTGCCCTCAGGAAATGCCAGCTCACAACCTCAGGCCTTATCACAAGGAGAGTCTGCCTTCTGAATAAAATTCTCTTCATAGAAGCCCCATACTCCCTTCTTCACACTGGGACTGTGTTTTGAATTGAGGTGTGAAGCCTGCTCTCCAGCTGGGGGCGCTGTTGGGGAAGGCTGTGGAGCCTTACTGGAGGAAGTGGGTCACTGGGTTAGAGGCTGAAGCTTCAAAGCCCTGCCCCACTTCCTGTCCACTCTTCCACTTTCTGGCGGCAGATGCAGAACGGCCAGCCATCCCCTGCTCTTTTTGCCACACACACATCCCAGCATGATGATCTGCTACCTCTTGACCTGTGGGCCTGAACAGCCCCCTTTCACTGCTTCTCCTCAGGTACCACAACGAGAAAGGTCACTAAGGCACTAGTCCAAGAAAAGTCAGAGGACCAGCAACATCAGCAACACCTTGGACATAGGACTCATGAAAGGCCATACACAATTACTACAGAGTTTACATATTTCCAAGATTGCCTTGAGGTGATTCATACCCACGCTAAGGTTTGATAGGATTCATCTTTTCTTCCAACTCAGTCTCTCTGACTGCTGACTATTGGACCCAGAGATTCCCCCAAATACATGTAGCTACTGGGTGACATAGTTGACAAGAGGCCTAAGACGTAGCTGACATCTGCTTTGGCAAGAGAGGTTACTCACTCTTTAATGACAAGAAACAAACTATGTCTTCTCTCCTTAGTGGCAAAATGGGGATACACATACATTCAGCCTTTACCGGAAAGGCAAAGACAAGAAGAAGAGTGGGTGCAGATCTCTAGAGAAGAGAATAGACACTGCCTTGTGCTCTTATGCTGCCACAAGGGCCTGGTTCTCCCTGAAGCCTGATCTTTTCCTTTCCGCTGCCCGGGTGGAGGTTGGGGAGTGTGCTTAGCAAATCTCATTGGTGTGGCCTGAGAGAAATCACCTCTCTACTTCCTATAATTGGAAACGATCCAACTAACACAATATGCCCACTGATATATCCTGAGAAAGCTTCTTGCTTCAAAATGTCTTCTCTTTGCTTCCCAACCGCATTTAGGAACTTTGCCAGGAAATTTATATTAGGTGTGCAGACATCCAATCTACCCAAGAGTCTACAGTGCACGGAGGGCAAAGGCTTCACCTGCCTCATTCTTCCTGGGTTCTCTAAACTAACGGGTTCTCTGTAAAAAGGAATCTGATTAAATCCAGTAACTGACGTGACATGACCACGTCATCAGACGATGGTTTCTACGTGTTTTATCTTCATAGCACTGTATTGATCATCCTGACTAAGGTCAAACTCTTCTGCACTAGTTAAGAAACATAAAAGAACTTCATAATACATTTCTGGCACTTGAAACACACTAGTTTTCACAGGAACTCTGGCCACCCTGACACTCATCATTCCAAGAAAACACTCAAGATAAAGAATCCAAAACCAAGAAAACTACAGATAAATTTTCATTAAATTTCCAAATTCCTATAAAATGTGTGTGTGTGTGTGTGTGTGTGTATGTGTGTGTGTGTGTGTGTATGTGTATTCATGTGGGTGTCTGCACTTGTGTGCCCAGGCCGGAGCTCAATGCCTGATTTTTTTTTTCTTCTGCCCTCTCTCTTATTTTTGAGACAGGGTTTCTCAGTGAACTTGGAGCTAACCAAGTGGCTAGGCTGGTTGACCAGAAAGACCCTGGGATCTGCCTTTCTCCAAGCCTTCCCAATGTTGGGAATTACAGGTGCATGTTGTCCTGCCCAGCTTGTATATAGGTGGGGATGTGAACCCAGGTCCTCCAGTTTGTACATCAAGTACTTTGCCAGCTGAACCATTGTCCGGCCCTATAATCTTAAATAAATCATGAAATCATTACTTCTTAAGCTCAAAATGTTAGACAAAATCCATTCATAAGTGAAGGATTATAAAGATAACAGCTACCTTAGTTTTCCATGAGGAACTTATTTTGTTAGAATGTCAGGTTAAACATATTCTCAATAATGAAACAGTCACCAATTCATTTGCAATATTTATATAGCACCTGAGTGGCAGGTAGTGACCGTACTGATTTTTTTTTTTCACACAGAAAAGAATGAGAATATCTTGTCCGTAACGGACTTATTCAGAGCAGAC